CCCGTGTATGTTTCTTGCTGTGTGTGTATTTGTACGTGAGTGTCCATGTGTACGCTAAAGCAGAGATTTAAACTACAAAGTCCCAGTCACGTCTGTAGATCTGGTTAGTCTCATAATTTTTTTGTTTTGTTTTTTTCCTGGTACAACAATAATGTTGATAAATCTCTTGAAAACTACATGTTCTTGCTCTCTCTCTCTCGCTCTCTCTCCTCTCTCTTCTCTCTCTCTCTCTCTCTCTCTCTCTCTCTCTCTCTCTCTCTCTCTCTCTCTCTCTCTCTCTCTCTCTTTCCCTCACTCACTCACTCACTCACTCATTCACTCATCCACTCTAGTCTCTCTCTCTCGCTCCTCGCTCTCTCTCTCTCTGTATCTATCTATCTATCTTCTTACCCACCCATCCATTCACTCATTCACTCATACACTTACTTAGTCACTCACACACTCGCTCACTCACTCTCTATTTTTCTCTCCAGCATGTTTACACGGTGACATAATGCCCTCGGCCAGACGCGGCGATCTTGCACCAGTCCTCACCCCTGGCGTCTCAATCAGAGGCATCTCGACGCCCGCACGCCCACGTTTGAGGGGCGCGAAGGGGAGGGAAAAATGCAAAAAAAATGACGCAGTAATGCTCAGTTTACATCCAAGATAAGACGATTGTGGAGCTCGCCTTCCACGCCAAGGAAACATGATGAGGCCTTATCCCCCCCTCTCCCTCGGCCCGTGTGAAATGCTAGGCGACCGCATCACCTTAGTGCATGACCTTCTGGAGCAATAACTGACGGCTTCTTCCTGCCTGCGTGCATGATCCTTATCTTAGATGCACATGCGCTTTCCTTCTGCCCCCCCCCCACCCACCACCCACCATTCATCGCGCTCCCTTCTCCTCTCTTCTACGTCAACCGGGAAGCCTCGCTGAAACTGTCCTGGCTGTTTTGTTTTGACCTATATAGTGCTTGCATCTGTTTGGGTGTTGTTGCTGTTGCTCTGCATGTGTGCGTATTTCTTGTGTGTGTGTGTGTGTGTGTGTGTGTGTGTGTGTGTGTGTGTGTGTGTGTGTGTGTGTGTGTGTGTGTGTGTGTGTGTGTGTGTGTGTGTGTGTGTGTGTGTGTGTGTGTGTGTGTGTAGTATGCGTGCGTGTGCGTGTGGATTAGTGTGTAAACCGATCTTATTTAACCGAATACAACAACACCGAACACATATAAAAAACAACATTACCCCAACGCATCATCGGATAAAAGCGAAGTCACATTTTCCCGCGCAGAAAGAAAAACAAATGACGCGCGGCCGTCCAGCGTTAGACAATAAAAACAAGCGCCCTTAGACATAAGGGTAAGGAAAATATCGCCAATCTGGCAACTCACCTTTCTTCTTCCCTCCCGGGTGCTCCTCGACTGCATGAAAAGAACAACAACATTCATGAGTTTAAAAAAAAGAGACATTTCTTAATCCTAGTCTTCACACGTGCTTCCATGTGACTTCTTTTGGCTTGGCTCTTGTCATTCTTCTCGCTATTTCTTCCTGTCTGTATCTCTAGCTTTTTTTTTTGTTTGTTTTTGTTTTTTGTCTTATTGTTTGTTTGTTCTATATTTGATTTGTCTGTATCTCTCCTCTCTCTTCTCTCTCTCCTCTCTCTCTCTCTCTTCTCTCTCTCTCTCTCTCTCTCTCTCTCTCTCTCTCTCCTCTCTTCAACAATAAGGCCTCTAGAATTCCTGTCACAAGAGCTTATCTACCCTCTCCCTCGTATTTCTCAAAACATAAAAAAACATGATAATTTTTTTCTATCTCATCTTTCTCCCTTCGTGCAACCTTCTAAAAATGGGCTAAAATCACACTAAGATTTAAAGAGATAATAAAAAATAAGTTTAAAGTCCACCCCACGGCCATCTTTTCTGCCAGAGTCATGAGAGAAATGAAGGGTAAAGTCTTAGGCAATTGGACTTAACAACCCAGGAGTTGGACAGTGCTCGACGCGCCCACTGCATGTTCCTCTTTGATTGCCGTAATTGGTCTAATCTCTGGCTCTCCGGAACCCTTAAATATCTGGAATTTTGTGCATCTTCATTCTTATGCTGTTAGACCTTTTTTTCTTTTTTTCTTTCTTTCTCTGAAATTCTGAAGTGCCCTTCTCTCTCTCTCTCTCAAACACATACATGCAAATATACATATATGCATATATATACATACATATATATATATATATAATATATATATATATTATATATATATACATATATATATATACATTATACATATATATATATATATATATATATATATATATATATTATATATATATATATATATATACATATATGTACATATATAATATATATGCAAATATACATATTAACATATATACATATATATTATATATATATAATATATACATATATACATATATACATACACACACACACACACACACACACACACACACACACACACACACACACACACACACACACACACACACACACACACATATATATATATATAT